AAAAGCTTTAAAATATCACAGTTTATGTCATACTCAAATGAAGGTTTTAGGCCTAGCAAAGATGTGAATATCAATACCTTGCAAATCAGTACAAATATGTGTGTGTGTGTGTGTATAAATAATATTTTTAAAAAACAACTTCTTAAACAGATTCATCAGCATGACACAAACCCAAGTATATTTTTCACTTCATCTCTCCTCCAAAATTGTAGGGAGTCCCAAAGCAACATCACCACATGGCAAAACCAGAGGTAACTGCACAATCTAGGCTCTAAACACGGAACCTGTTTCTATACAAATTCAGATCACAGACATCCTTACGGTTAACCTAAGGCAGTGATGGCGAACCTATGACATGCGTGTCAGAGATGACACATGAACTCATTTTTTTGGTTGATTTTTCTTTGTTAAATGGCATTTAAATATATAAAATAAATATCAAAAATATAAATCTTTGTTTTACTATGGTTGCAAATATCAAAAAATTTCTATATGTGACAGGGCACCAGAGTTAAGTTAGGGTTTTTCAAAATGCTTCCCTTAGGTCCTAAGGGAAGGTGATTCTGGAGAAAAAGTGCTTGCTGTGTCACAACCACAGGGTACTGACAGCCTTATTTTGAGCAACTGTATTCAAGGCCCATCCCCAAACATTGTTCTACTCTTGGCTTCATTTTCCTCAGTACTGGTCCTACCCTATTGGTTTCACAGGCTTATAAATGTTAAACATCAAAAATTAGTTTCACTTATTATGGTTAGAAAAGGCTTACAGAACTCTGGGATCTGTGCCTCTGAGCAAAGGCTTTATCAGCTGGCCCCAGTCACTGCTTCTTGAAAAAAGAAAATGCTCCTGATTAAAAACCAACATACCTGATTTCCAAAAGGGTACTCACCACGCATGTATACATTTAATTACAAAGGGTTTCTGTCCCAACTCACAATTACCTCCTTCTCAAAATCCCATCTCTCATCTCCACGGTGTTTGACAGCAAAGGGATAAATATAAAAATTAAATCTCAAACTAAACTATTTATTAAGAAATTCCATCTTGATTACTTTATTCTTCATGGGCACTTAATTAACATAGCATCAGTATCTTTCCAATGTCTGTGTCTGAACAGCAAACACCTTCCAGATGTTTTCCCACTTATACAAAGACAAGAATAGGACTCAAATTATTGTCTTCTTGTCATCAGAATCCTCAACCCACCCTAAATAAATTTATTGTAGTAAAACAAAGCATTACATTTGTATGACTGTAAAAAGGGCACTTGAGAAAAATGTTTACTATCCTTACAAATGCTGAAAATACCATGTATTCCTATAGCAATCGCATTTGTCGTAAGTGTGACAGAAAATAACAGCCCTTAAAATGGAAAACACCTCATCTGTATGATACAATTCCCACTTCCAAACAGCAGTGTGACAAAGCAAAACACAGAACTAGACACCAAATACCCGCCAAGGAAACATTCATTTCTGAAGCCTCCAAGGCACACGTCTGTGCAGCCTCACGGGCAGCTTCGCGGCAGAGAAAGGAAAGCTCACGAGGAACAGGGGCGGGGCAGACAAGGTGGAGTGAACAAGCAGCCGCTGCCTGCCACCAGCCACAGGTGAGCCGTCTCCTCCCAGGGCATCAGTTAAGCTTCAGGAAAGAAAGATAACTTCTAAATCCCTAAGCCTCACTACTGGACATAAAAATACAAACCTCACAAAATACTTATAGCTGGCAGCCAAAAATAGAAAACAAACAAACAGCCATCGATAGATTTTTGACATCTAATGATGTAAGAGTGAAATAGTATTTCCATAGAAAAATTTATTAAAATAGTAATTTCATCACTCGTCTCAGTTAGAAAATGCTCACCTGTAGGTGAGTAAGAAAGAACAGTATACATGGCCAACAGTTTACACAGATGACTGATGCTGCTGCTGTCCACATACTCGAACCCCATGGACCAGTTACAGCTTAAGAATAAAATGAAGAAAGGGGAGATGCTAAAAGTGAAAGCTATAGTAGCAAGGACAAAAAAATTTACAAAACAACAGCAACACCACCACATATGCCAATATGAGCTCTTTACTCTACCTGTGCCCTTGCCTAGCAACACCTGGCAGTGATCCCCCCAGAAGGTGCAAGTCAGAGTCTTCCAGAAGCCTGGTACTTGGGAAAAGAATATTCAATATATCTATTAGTTTTATACTATAAACTATACGTTTTTTTTTTTTTTAAAGACTGAAAATTCTTTAGGGCTGAGGGAAATGTGCAGAATATGAAATAAGAATGCATTCTGGGGAGCAAGTGTTAGAAAAACATTGAGAGATGTGGCATTACAACACACAGAGTTATATAAACTCTCCTCCGGGAGAGTTAAACCGAGGTAATGATGCAAACAGAAGAAAACTAGCCGCTAGCCTTTTCATCATAAGGGCAGAAAGGTCTCTGAACTAGGTAAAATCATGCAGTATTTCCACC